TATATATATATATGTATGTATATATATAGAAAGGTAACAAAAGGGGAATCTGACAATGAAAAAAAAAATCAACCGAGACTCGAACCCGTGACCTTACACAAACATTCCATGAATCGATGAACCCCAAAGAGAAAGAAGTCCATGTTACCCCCGCGAAAATCTCAATTTCTAGATGACTGAAAATGAGCTTTCCCGACTTATGAAATGTCTTTTAGATTTTTAATTTCTTCAAAATTCAAGATTTTACCATTTTGAAAACTGTCAGGTAATTTTTCTTTCATTCTTATTTTATGTGTGTATACGTACATACATACACAAAATTAAGTGGTTGCATACGTATTCCTTACTCCATGAATCGATAAATCCCAAACAGAAGGGGGATCTGAGGGCTCTCCCCAGGGAAAATTTTGATTTTCAGATGGCGGGAAATGAGCTTTCCCGACTTCTGAGGTGTCGTTTAATGACTTTTAATTTCTTTAAAATTAAAGGCTTTCCCCCTCTTGAAAACGATTCCATGAATCAATGAACCCCAAAGAAAAAGGGGGTTCGGGTTCTTCCTGGGAAAATTTTGATGGCGGGAAATGAGCGTTCCCCAATTTTGAAATGTCTTTTAATGACTTTTAAGTTCTTCAAAATTCAAGATCCCCCCCCCCCCTGAAAATGGTCAGGTACATTTTTCTCATTCTTATTACAGTAAATAGGCCTTATGTGTGTATCATAAAAAAAAAAGAGTGATTGCATACGTATTCTTATTACATGAGTCGATAAATCCCAAAATGAAAGGGGGTCCAGGGGTCCTCCCCGGTGAAAATTTCGATTTCTGAATAGAAGGAAATTAGCTTTCCCGAATTTTGAGGTGTATTTAAATGACTTTTAAGTTCTTAAAAATTCAAGGTTTTCCCCTATTGAAAACGATTTTATGAATCGCTGAACCCCAAAGAAATACGGGTCCAGGTTACCTCCGGGAAAATCTCGATTTCTAGATGACTGGAAATGAGATACAATATTCAAAATTCAAGTTTTTTCCTCTCTTGAAAACTGTCGGGTAAATTTTTTTCATTCTTATTTTATACATAGGCTTACATACACAAAACTAAGTACGGTAGTTGCATACGTATTCTTTTTTCCATAAATCGATAAATCCCGAAACAGAAAGGGGTGTCTAGGAGCTCTCCATTAGGCCAATTTCTTTTCTTGCATTTTTTCCGATCATACAAAAATCTCCATAGACATTATTTTCTGCCAAAGAGTGGGTTGGGAAATTTGAACTCGATTTTCATCAATCTCTGCCACCGACATCTACAATGTGCTCATTTATCAAGTAAAAAAAGGGGGTTTTAATAATCACTAATATCATCCTCTTGCACTTTGCACCATGGAGCGCTTTTCTTGATCATAATGTCGCAGAAGCGTCATGGAATGGATTTATGGATATTTTTGATGCTGCAGTAGGCCTACGGGACAGTTTTTTTCCCCGAGTTAAAAGCAAGGCTCATAAACAAAGTAGTCCACGGATAACATAAGATATTAAACGTAGAATTCAGCAGAAAAAGATACTTTTCATTAAATCCAGACGTTTCGGTTTTCCAGATCATTGGGAAGCTTACAGAAGATAGCGAAATAAAGGAAATTACGTTATTAAGAAATCCTATAATGATTACGTGAATTATCTTTTTAAACTTGATGGTAACAAAAGACTTTTTTTCTCCTTGTAAAGGAGAAACGGTCATCTTTTTTCCCTGATAAATTATTAATTCAGTAAATAACTCACATTTGTCCAACATTCGAGGCATTGTTAAGGATTGTTACTTTACCTCCACTCTTAATCAGTTCAACGATAATTTTAATTTCAACGAAACCCTTGTTTGCCAACTTCAAATCCCGGCACTTAATAGTGTCTCATTTACTCTGGATGATATCATCAGGGAACAGTGTCACTGTTCCCTGATATCATCAAAACTATCACATTTCGTTCAAATTCGGCACGGTGCACCTTGTCCAGATTCAATCTTTGCCAACTGAAGCCAATATCTAATTCGATTGCATATATATATAT